TAGAGGAGTTGTGTTCCTTGGAGTTGAAACAGAGATTTCCAGAAAGCACTGACAAAGATTGGGTCACGGTCACTGATAATGGATTTGGGTGGGCCATGCAACTTGCCGACATTATCCCAGAAAGCTTGTGCGACTTTGGTGGCTGTGTAGGAGCTTGGCAGTGGAATAAAATGAGCACCTTTTGTCAAACGATCGACCACAACGAGAATAACAGAGTATCCTTGGACTGGTGGCAAATGGGTGATGAAGTCCATTGTTAGCTCAGACCAGATTTCCTTTGGCGTTTCAAGCGGTTGTAGCAAACCATACGGTGAGTGATTTATGGGCTTTACTCTTTAGCATATGTCGCAAAATTTCACAAACTCCTGAACATCTCTCCGTACTGTTTTCCAGGTATAAAATGTGCACACGCGGGATAAGGTGCGACGGACTCCAGCATGTCCTCCTATGGGTGAAGAGTGGAATTCGTGCAGCAAACTGGGGATCAAGGAAGATTTTTCGGGAATAAATATGCGGCCTCTATGCAGCAGTAGACCATTTTGAATATCCCAGTTCCCCTTTTTTACTTTGGATGACTGTATCTCCCCTATTATTTTCGTAGCATAGGTATCGCTGTGTAGCTCCTTCTGTAATACGGAAACATAGTGAGTTTGTGGTGTGGAGAGTGATGTGAGGTGCGCAGATGGGGACCCAATATCCCCTGGTAGCTGTCTGGATAGACCATCCGCAGCTGCGTTAGTAATGCCTGATTTAAAAGTGATCGTAAAATTATACCCCAGTAACTTTGCCAGAAATTGTTGCTGTTCTGGTGTCTGTATCACTTGATTCATCAGGTGGTGCAAGCTCTTATGGTCCGTTCGTATGACGAAACTGGATCCTAAGAGGTATTGACGCCATTTGCTTACTGCCGACGTAATAGCATACATCTCCCTTATATAAGTTGATTGAGTTTGCATGCGTGGGGAGAGTTTCTTACTAAAATACGCTACTGCCTTTCCATCTTGGAGCAATACGGCTCCTATACCTGTTCCTAATGCATCTGTTTCAATTATAAATTGCTTTCTAAAGTTAGGCAAAGTGAGAATCGGTGCTTCAGTAAGGCACTTTTTTAATTCCAGAAAGGCCTTGTTAGCTTCTTCTATCCAATAAAATTTTCCCTTTGTGAGGAGATCAATGATTGGAGAAGCTATTTTTGCATACCCTTTAATAAATTTCCGATAGTATCCTGAAAGCCCTAGGAATGCTCGAACCTGAGTGACCGCAGTGGGAGTAGGCCATGCTGAAACGACGATGACTTTATCTTGGTCAGGTGCGACACCTGCACTAGAGACAATGTGTCCCAAGAACTGAATAGAGGATGTCGCAAATGAACATTTTGAAAGTTTCGCATACAATTGGTGTTTCCTCAATATATCCAGGACTTGACGTAAATGATTGACGTGTGTTTGTAATGTTGGGCTGAACACTAAGATGTCATCAAAGAATATGACCACAAAACGTCGGAGGAGTGGTGCAAAAACATCATTCATTGTTTCCTGAAAAGTGGAAGGAGCATTTGACAGCCCAAATGGAAGAACCATAAATTCAAAGTGGCTGTGGTGTGTTCTGAATGCTGTCTTATGAATATCCTCGGAGTGCATGCGAATTTGGTGGTAACCAGATCGGAGATCAAGTTTGGAGAAAATTGTTGCCCCGTGAGTTCGTCCAACAATTCATCTACGGTTGGTATAGAAAATTGATCTCTGACAGTGATTGCATTTAAGGCCCTGTAATCCACACAAAATCACCAAGTACCGTCTTTCTTTTTCACCAGTAGGACAGGAGAACTGAATGAGGATTGGCTAGGGCGAATGATTCCTGCTGATAGCATTTCCTGACATAATTTTTCAATTTCGCTCTTTTGGAAATGTGGGTAGCGGTAGGGTCTAACTTGGACAAGTTTTGTGTTAGGGAGTAAATTGATGTGGTGGTTATATGGACGGTGTGGTGGTAAGGTGTTGGGAATGGTAAACACGTCATTGTAGGTGGAGAGTAATTTTTGGATGTCAGGTACAATATGGTGGGGTTCCGTGTCATGTGTTTGTGGGGTATTGGGTGGGGCAGAGTGAGGACGGTTGAAACACATGAGGCATGAAGTGTATGCATCCATGACCATAAGTTTATTCAACTTTGCAGATGATATAAGGATTGGGTTGTCAGGACGGTGTCCCTGAAGTTGGATGTTGTTGCCCTGGTGGTCAAAGGTCATGAGTAATTGGCTATAATCAGTAAGAATTGGTCCCAAGGTGCTGAGCCATTGAACTCCTAGGACAATATCTGCACCCTTTAGCTCCAAAGCGTATAACTCCACCGAAAATGAATGAGACTGCATCCTAGAGGTACCTCCTTGCAATATGCCCGACATTGAAGTCCCTCACCATTGCCTACCTGCACAATAAATGGCTCTAAAGTCTGCAAAACCAATCCCAAATAAGTAGCCATTTTATGCGTGATAAAATTATGAGTGCTGCCTCCGTCGATTAAAACCTGAACTTGTTTGCCAAATATCGTTCCTGTTAAACGAAAGGATCGTGGAGAATAATGGCCAAATAAGGCGTTCAAACTGATCTCAGAAAAGGAATTAGGAATCTTATCTGTAATTGGAGATTCTTGTTTGTTCTTCAGAGTCAGACGGGGGTGGATCATCTTCTATGCCATCAAAATAGAGCAAGGTGGCTTTCCCTTTGCATTTGTGGCCAAACACGTATTTTTCATCACAACTGTAGCAAAGCCTTTTTTCCCTTTTACGTTGCATTTCTTCTGGTGAAAGTCGTTTAATAGGAAGTGGGGATGTTGTGGATGGATATTTCGTGGTGTTTGATTGATTGGTTGATGTATTTGGTGTGAACGGTGGACGTGGTGTCCACTGTCGTTGGGCTTTGTACCCTGTATTTGAGTCTGTGTGCTGGTCCTCATATATTTTTGCCAGTGAGAATGCAGCATGGATATCTTGAGGGCGTTGAATTAGTACTTGGCTCCTAATGTTCGGTTTGAGACCGACTACAAATAGTGCTCTTTTGAGTGTAGGAGAAAGGCCTGGTACTCTGCTAGCTATGACTTCAAAACTAGCTTGGAACTCACTAACCGTGGTTTGTTGTCGAAGGTTGGCAAGACATATTGTCGGATCTTCAAACTCCGATGGTCCAAAACGCCTTTGCGCCGCCACCACGAACGCTAGCCAATTGGGAATAAGCCCATCATTAAAAAGTCCTTGGAACCAAGAATTCGCTGGTTTGTCAAGGTTGAAAGATGCAATTAACACACGTTCTGCCTCTGGTATCTGATAGAATTCAAAATATCTATTGGCATGAAAAATCCAATCAGTGGGATCGCCGTCTGCAAACCTCGGAAAAGTGATTTTCGTTGGTTGTGTGCGATTAATGCCTGTGTTATTCGGCTGAGATTTGTAGGGACCTGAGCCGAGAACTCCAGATCCGTTGGACTGATTTTCGAGAATTCGATTGATGTCCTGTCGGAGTATCGCAAAATGTTGATTCTGCTATGTTTGCGATTGCAGCAATTGTGCTTGCGAGTCCTGTAATGCTAATTGTTGTCGTTCACGTACGAGTTCTGCTGCCTCGAGTTGTTTTTCCAGCGTTTCTATGCGCTGAGTCATTTCACGCATGCGTGTGTTCTCCGCCATGTGGGAGGGAGATCAGATGAAAGCACCAATGAAGGGGAATTTCTTAGAATTGAGAGAAAAGAATAAGAGAGGAGAGAAATTTAGGAAGAAAAAATTGCGATCAAAACATCCAATGACTTTTATTGATCTTTTCCAGGATTTTTATAGTAAAACAAATAACAACCTAATGGCTAAGGAATGCCAGCTACTAACTAACTACTGGAAATAAAAATAACAGATTGAAGATAAGGATAAATAACAAATTGAAGATAAGGATAACTTAAGGATTATTCCTATCTGCAACTAACTAACAAATTGATAATTGCATAATTATTAAATAAGAAAAGTAAAGACTCCTAGCTAATAAAGCTTTAAACATAATCTTGGAGATGGGCTGGTGGCTTTGTCATGCGTTTGGGCCTCTCATTATCTGGGCCTGCTACAGAACCATTCTCGCTCGATTTCACCATCAGAGACACAGAGAATAGAAGGGGAAGGGAAGGCAGTTAGAAAATGGAAGACTTGGCAAACCCCAAAGAGATGAACTCTAACCTGTAACGTACAACTTGTAAATGAAATTTCTATGCGCCTGCTTATGTGAAAGTGACCACACGTTCCTGTTTCCCACTTTTTCTTTTTGTAGGGTTTTAGAATCTCATGCATGCCTCAAATATTACATTTTATATGTATAACTTAAAGCAAAGCGAGAAGCATTACTTTAAAAGATAATTTTGTGTGATTTTCTTAGTCTTTTACATTTTTTTCTCTTCCCACGATTGTGGAGAAGAAAATATAAAAAATCAATAAATATATAACAAAATGTTTTCTGATATAAAATCGGGAAAAAAGAAGTCTCTGCAAGAATTCTCGTGCTTGTGTCATTAATCCATGTGTTACCAGACACCAAAAGAGGGGGGATGATCCCCTTACCGAACAATTTATTGTACCATGAAGCACACAGAAAATGTTTTGAAGTTAATGCTAAGTCCCACTTTGCTTAGTAAAAAAAAAAAAGGGAAAAACTATTCTTATGTCACATGAGACAAGTTTTCTTTCCTACACACCCTTCGATAACTGTGCCACTTTTTTCTTTTCTTTTCTTTTCTTTTTCAGGTGGTGGAACCCACTAGTTTATCTCTATGACATGAGATAACTATCTCCTTTAACATGATATTAATAAAACCAAAAAAAAAATCATAATGCCAGACTATGCTTATTTAGCAGCTTCAATGTGCCAAATTGATTTGCCTAAAGAGACCCATTTTATGGGGCAACAAAATCTCAGCCGCCATATCAGACACAAAGAAGAGAAGTAATCTGCAATAACATGTACAGAAACCATAATTTTTATGACTTATATGACATTTTATAATATATGTGAAGGCATAGTATACTGTTTAATATGGCACAAAAATAAAGCTCCTTAAAGCCGCTTTCCCTTAAAAGTTCAACTTTAAATAAGAAATATATGATCCGTCATATAGGTAGCCGCACCACAAGACAAGTCCCGGTACATGGACACCATACGAAGATGCCAAAATCTGTCAAAGAGGAAAATCAGTATTAGTTTTCAGATTCAAGTTTGATCTGCAAACAGTGGAAAATCAACAGAACCTTCATTGTCTCAAATAAGTTCGATTAGCTCATATATTAAGCATCTAAACAAATGAATAAGAGAGAGCAAACTCACACTGACTCTAGATGAGGATCTACAACCGCTGGAAGGAGATGGAAGAGAAAATACTTATATTGTGACTTAATACTATTAATTGTAGCTTGAGATAATCTTCGAGACAGCCCAGCTGAGAAATATCTGATGGACGTTATTACTTCCTTCCCTTTATATTGTTAGTTTCAGAAGCTACAAGTTCCATTTGCTCAGTTTGAGATTCCAAAGTCTGCGGCCTCTCCAAATTAATCCCATCAGCATATAATTCCAACTCACTCTTGAGTTTTCTCCATTTCTACAATCATTGCTTCAAAAGTTTTGAGATTTTTCTTTTGAGTTTCAGATATAGTGGGTTCCATCTCCATTCCACTAATAGTGGGCTCCTCATTTTCACGATTAGAATCTTTAATGTTTCCCAGGAAAGGACTACCTAGAAAAAGCTGTTCCCAAGAACTGTCGTCAGGTAAATCTGGTAGAATAAATGGGGTATGATTTTCTAAAGGACACAATTTTTCATCCAGGAGCACTTTCAAGAATTCAGAACTGATGCACAAGTCTTTTAACCCATCCACAGAAAGTTCAGGCTCTGTTTGCTTATCGAAAGCAGGAGATAGCGGAACTACAGGCTTAGGTGTTTCACTTGCAGGTGGTATATACTTTATAATCAATCCTTCAGAAGCAACTGGTTTGTCATCTTGTTTACCTTGGCCCAGCATATTCCCTTGTTCAGACAAACGCCAATTATTTTCCTTAGGATGAATCAGCTGAACCATGAACCCAGGGTTTTGCACAACCATGACTAAGAATGATAACATCTGCTGCTGATGCTTTTCCATTCCTTGAAGGCGATCACTCAGGAGCAGCAAATTATTCTCAGAAGATTCCTGGTGCTGCCTAAGTTTGACCAACTCCTGCATGAGGGAATTTTTATCCAACTTTAGATTCTCAACTTCTTTCGAAAGGTCATAATTTGTTGCTTCCTGTGATGATTCATCACAATTGCCTTGCTGCGGCAAGGCTTTTGGTTGATCTGCAATGTGAGGATGTTTCCTTCTACGTATATTCTTCAACAAATGCTTTTGACCCCTAACAAAGTTGTCATTGGCAAATTCCCAGCGATCCGTATCAACTTTCCTGAAACCCTGATAGAATTTCCAGTTATCAATTACCGACTTTGAAAAGAGACTCACAAAATAAACAAACAAAGAGAGAGAGGCACTAAACATGCACACCTATAGAAACAAAATGATGTTCTTTAGAGGTTGTATTGCAGCTTTTCACAAGGTCAGGTATTATTTAAGATACTTTTAATTTGGCAGCCAACAAGGAGTAACAAGTAAAAGGAAAAACAATGCAAACCTAAATACCAATGGTCTTTATATCAAATATTATAATCAAGACAACGGAATAAATTCATCCATTAATTTAGTACTTTAACAGACTTCAACCTTGGTAATTGTTGGAAATCGACAATCACACAGAATCGAGAAAACAGAAAAAAGAAGAAGATAAGAGTAGAGAGATTAGACACAATTTACCCTGGTTCACCCAATATAGGCTACGTCCAGCTTGTCTGTACTATATTCACCTCATCGCCACTCGTTACAAGTCTCTCGGTTTACAAGGCAAATATAAATAGGATTACAAAACCCTAACAACAGCTATTCATGGGCCCAAGCCCAAACTGCTAAGAAAATTACAATAAAACAGAGGCCCACAACAGTACCTAGCCTCTACGAGTCTGGGGGCGCTGCCCCCCCGGACCCATATAAATAGGATTACAAAACCCTAAAACAGTTATTCATGGGCTCAAGCCCAAACTGCTAAGAAAATTACAATAAAACAGAGGCCCACAACAGTACCTAGCCTCTACGGGCCTGGGGCGCTGCCCCCCGGACCCCCGCCCGCTCACCTGGGAGCGGAACCCCAGTTGCCTTTCTGCTGACCCCGATAATTAGGGCCCTCATCAGCATGCGAAGTATGAGCCATACCCAACAGTAATGAGATTAGTAATAAGGGAATGCAAAAAAAAAAAAAAATTCTTTCAAGGCTGAGTTGATTTGATTTTCCTTTTGGATAGAAAGTAGTTGGTGTTTGTTAACTCATATTTATAACGCAAGCCAAAAAAAATGAATAGTACAAACAAATGATAAATCAGTATGAACACCAATCCAGGATTCAAGTACATGCCAGAAAGAAGTCAGAAATATGGAGGAGTTGAACAAGCACCCCAGTGGTTGTTGAGTGTGTAAAACTTAAGCAAAAAAGATTACCAATTTATTTCATATAAAGTTGTGTGTACAGTCCTGGTATCATAAACACAGTAAGCTAAGAACAGGAAGAGTGGAACCAAAGAAGAATGGAACCAAAGATTGATCAAAGAGGGTGTTTATGAATCACAATCATCACTAAATTATTTATCATGGGTAAAAGTTTCAGCTACACAGGAAAGAACATTGAAATAGTCAATTCATAAAGCTGGGAAATGGGTGGATTATGGCTCACAATCAGATGAAAAACGAACCATACTTTTTTTCTTTTTCTTTTTTTAAAGAGAACACATTCAGTTATAAAGACAATAAATAAGAAAACCCACACCAAAGAAAAACAATTGAATTGAACTCAATCAAGCAATAAAAACAAAGAAAGAAAGAGAGAGGGAGTCGGACATAGATATTGAGTTGCCTGATGAAGCTGGAGAAATTGTTGTGCTTGAAAAAGGTGGGAAGGAGTGTGAGGGAGAATTGGGTTATGTCCCAGATGACAAAACTGCAGCTACCTTCGCTCCAAGAGATGATAGAATCGGTGGAGTTATCTTCCACCATCTCATAACACTTGTTCAAGAAAGGAGGCACCGAACCTGAACCTGAACCTGAAGCAGAAGCATTCTCGCTCGATTTCACCATCACTGAGACTCTGAGACACAGAGAATAGAAGGGGAAGGGAAGGCTGTTAGAAAAATGGAAGACTTGACAAACCCCAAAGAGACGAATTCTAACCTGCAAGCTGTAACGGACAACTTGTAAATGAAATTTCTATGCGCCTTCTTATGTGAAAGTGACCACACGTGACGTCCCTCTTTCCCACTTTTTCTTTTTGTAGGGTTTTAGAATCTCATACATGTCTCAGATATTTATTTATATATAACTTAAAAAAAGCGAGAAGCGTTACTTTACCAGGATTCACTTACCACAAAAAAAATTTTACAACTCTTATAATCAATTTAATTATCGTTGATTTCGGTCAAATTAACGGTTATAAATTAATAACATTTATTGTGTCACAATTATTAATTTTCATTAAATTATAATCGTTAGATTGATGAAAATTAACGATGATTAAATTGATTGTAAGAGTTCTAAACTTTTTTTTTTGTGGTAAGTCGATCATCCCCTTACTTTAGAAGATAATTTTGCTCGTCTTTTACGTTCTTTTCTCTTCCCACGATTGTGGAGAAAAAAATAAAAAAAATATATATAACAAAACGTTGTTGGTTTTTTGACACCAAATTGTGTCATTAAACGCTTTTTAATAAATTATATTTTGATGTTATACAAAAATAAATAAATTATATTTTGATTGTGTATGATTTTAAGTTCTTGGTATTGTCTTTTTATATAGAATTTAATATTCGAATTTCTTAATTTATTTCAGTTCAGGTTATTCTAAACTTGCTAATGAAAATACATGTGTGTCTTTGATGCATTACTTGGACATGAGATCAAGGTGATCAGAAACTTATTATCACGTTAACAATTTGATTGTAGGTGAAATTATAAAATTAGAAAGCCTGACAAATAATTCAAAAATAAAAAAAAATTGTCAAAAATATTATATTAAAAAATTCTTTATAATGTACCAAAAAAATCATTCATATAAAAAATTATTGGGTTTAGTGTTTGTCTTTTTAAAAGATATAGAGTTATGTCATTTTAACTGAGAGAAAGACACAAACAATGAAAATGATGGAAGAGAAAGTGTGTGATTTTTTTAAAAAATTTAAAATTTAAATAAAAATACTAAATTGTGTATTTTTCTCACTTAAAATGACACAACTCGTTTATCGAGAAAAAAATGACACAACTCTAAGACAAACATTTTCCCCAACCTAAATAAATTAGTGGTGATAAGATTCTGAAATCATATTAAAAAACTAAAGTGGTTAAATAATAAGATAAAATTGACTAAACCTTATATTCATCCATGACAAATTTCGCAGCAATTAGTCTTTCATAATGCAAAACTGTGAGTCTTCTTAGGTGAAACATATTAATCAAAATTACGAGATTCACAAATTTTCATAATTTTAGCACATAACTAGCGATCAAACTTTTCCCACTAACTTTGATTTTCTGAGAGAGAATATCTTATACTGACTATTGAAGAGGATCAGAGAGAAAATGACCTAGAAACCAAATTTCAATCGAGGCTGACTAAGCTAGTTAGTTCTTGCATTCAACCTCTCTGGTGATTTTACTTTGTAGGGGTGCCTCAGAATGCACAAGTAATACAAATACCATGAGATAAATATGTCGCATTGAATGAACAAGACATTCCTGCTTAGAATTGAAGGTGCTACTCGGACTTGAGCCAGTATTAATATATTCAGCTTAAATATAAAGTTATAATACGTGAATCCAATAAAATTAAGGAAAATGTTACGCATAGTGAAAACTAGAATCTCTGAAAGGTTTTGCTATTTATTTTGTCATAGTGGTATGTAAATCAGCCTAGCTGTTTCCTTATGCATAAGAAGAGTTGTGTTGTGGCATCCTTCTTAAAAGAATATTAAAATAATTGTGGGAGTTAACTTTATATTTAAATAAATATTGGTACTAATAATGTTATTATATTAAAAGACAAAATAATTTCTGCAGCCGCTGTACCTACAACTAGTCAGATTCGCGTGCGGATCGCGGATCTTAGGATACAGCTGGATCCTTGTTTTTTTGTTTTTTTTTTTTCAAAACACTGTGAGACCCATTTTTCTGTATCAGCTGTAGAGTGTTATCTACGACGGCTGCAGAATTGATAAGCCCATATTAAATAAAGCTATCGCAATACAGAAGAACACTGCTGGCTTTTAATGACTAAATTATTTTCATGCAAAATCATTCATCCGAAGACTAATTTAACGTCAATATTCTTTTGAGAATGAAATTAATTTTTTAAAACATTATGAAAACTAAATTGCGGGAGTTTTTACTCTTAATTTAAAATAACAGTAGCTACTTGTTGAAAGATTCGTACAAACACCAAACGGAGATTATAGCTTTATCAAGGCAATCACGTAAGTTTTTCTTTAAAAAATAATGAAATAAAGAATTGAAAAGAATAATTTAAAAGAGCATTATAAAATTAAAAACGATGAATAGTCTAACTAGGAAAAAATAACTAACAAACTTATGAAAAATGATATATTTACAAACTTTTTGTTTACAAACTACACTGTCTGACCGGTCATACATTCTGATTAGTGTATGACCGGTCATACTTAGTATAATTTGTAAAAAAAAAATTGTAAACGAATACTTCCCTAAACTTATATACATCTATCGACCTATTTAGCTCTTCCAATGCTCATACACTTCTAGATGAGAGTAAGCTGAAGTTTTGGCCGGTTAGGCTGAGGCTCAACAACCTCAATGTGAATTTTGACTGTCTGCAACATGCTGTATGAAAGACTACCATCCATCTTCTTAATCTTCTGCTGTTGCTCATCTACATACCATTCTCCACCTCCCTTTTCCGCTCTTGTCAAATATACAGGTCCAGTTATGCCATATCTGTAGAAGAAAAAATATATGTCACACGCAAACTACAAACACTCACTCACCTAATCCCTGTTTCAGTGCTTAACGTTACTGAAATAGCCTTCGGTTAGATAATGAAAACACACTCTTTCCTTAATTTTGTCCTCCTTATTCGCCCTTTCATAGGTTATTTGACAAAGGAAAATAAAAAAGGAAAGAGGTTAAGAGACTTTACTTGGGAACAAACACAAAAAATCCATTAGATCTTATTTTCACTATCCTAGCCTCCGCATCTATTGGCCTGCACGAGCAAAAATAGAAAAAATCCAGAATGAGCTGCAAAGTGCAAATAGAAAACAATAATAACAGTAAGAGGGAGGGGGGAAGCTATGTCACAACATACTTCTTCCAGAAATAAATGAGAGTATGCAGCTCCACTGAAGCCCGCCCGGCCATCTGAGCATTCCTGTGCCGATAATTTAAATCTAAAACACAAATGGGTAAAAAGAATTATTAAGATTAGATGTGTCACAACAAAGAAACAAAATCAATGAAGAAAATTTCACCATAAGATTGGTAATGAATATAGCTATCCTAGAGAAAACTTCCATTATAAAGACAGGCATAAAATAATCAAGTTCTAATTAGATCATGAAGGAATTTCATACTGTCTGCAATGGTAGTGAGCTGGAGCCTGTCCTGAAATACGGACGGTAATTTGGACATCCCTAAAGAAGCAGCAAGTAGCCTGTGCACAATAACATCTGCGAGGAAAAATGTTTCATCTCATATTATTGTGCAAATTGACCAAGTAAACATATTATAAATACGAGGGATACATACCTGCATATCTTCTTATAGGTGATGTGAAATGGGTATATAAAGGAGCTGCAAGCCCATAATGATGATATTCTGGAGGGCTAAGATCCCCACTGCAGAAATAAACTGCCTACAAAACAAAACGAAATTATATTTTCTCTCGCAAATTCTAAATCAGTGTTGTCTCATTCAAATTCAATTTACCTGAGTCATGCATCTAGTTGCCAAAATGCGGATTAACTTATTGAAGTATGGATCATCGCCCTGAAAAGTAAATTGTTATAAAAAGAAAGAAAAAACATTTGAGACAAAATAAGACCCTCAAAAATTAAATGCTTGAGCTAGCAATGTGTGATCTATAAAAAGTAATTTGTTATAAATGATGCAGCCAAAATCATTATATCATTGTAGCTAATAATTATCCACAATACATATATAATATATTGTCAATGGAAAACAATAAAAAAATAGAATAATGAAAAAAATACAAACAGAAAATAAAATATTTACCACAGCATGATCAAGAGAATCAGCTAATGCTTTTGATGATGAGACATCCAAGTGCAGACCAACTGCAGCAGCAGTACGTAGTAAGGGTTCAAGCATCTCTCTAGTTGGAGCTGGATGTCGCCTACACAAGAACAAGAATAGCAATTACATCATCTTGCCCAATGCAAATGTTTTAGAAGTTTCCATCATGTTGATGCTTCTAATCAATGGGCTCACAAGCGTGGGAAAGATATAATTCTCAATAATCACATTTCATTTAGAGGAGGAAGAACTCATTTACTAATAAAAAAAAATGGTCCACTAACACTACACCTAAAAACCCTTCCAATTTAATTTCACAAATATCCAACTCTATCATCCACTTGTAGGTATTGTTTAGAATTTAGAAGATTACACAAGTCACTAAGGTCATTGATGCAGAATTAATGACATTATTAAAGTTGTGATAATTGAAGCGATTTCTATTTTAGTTTTATTATTTGATTAGGATTAGTTTAAGTGTATATTAGGAAGAAGCAAGGGGATCCATGTCTCTCAAGGAGGCAATCAATGGGAATTGAGATCTCAGGGAGGGAATGGTTGCCGCAACAGATTGCCAGTGAGGTGAAATTAGGAGGGAAAGTTTGACCAGTATGGTTATAA